TACAAACAGATTGCTATCAGAAGAAAGGGAGTCATTTCTTCCCTGTGTCTGGCGGGGATAAGATGAGAAGCAAAGGATTTAAAAGACAAAAAGGGAGATTAAGGCTAGTCATTAAGGATTTTTTTTGTACCTGTAAGCCCTGGAAGAGATTGCCTAGGTAGCCAGAGAAATCCCCATCACTGGAGATTCTTGAAGAACGGGGCAGACTGTCAGGACGAGTGATGTCTCTAGTCCTTTTCAGCCCTGCTTTCCCTGTTAGATTAATTCTCCGTACACCTGCAGAGCCCTGTTTGCACTCTGAAGGCAGCCACAGGGGAGCTCCTCTGATGCAAGGAGTCTGCTACTTTTAGTGCTTGGAGACGCAGAATAGACGTGTTGGGTTACTGGCAAGAAGCTTGTCATCTCTGAGTAATGTCTAATTGGAAGGGATGAAAAAGCCACTTGGAACTGGTGGATGGCAGGAACATCTAGGACAAGACTCTGCGAATACTGCAAGGGAGGAGTGCTAAGGATGAGCAACCAGGGCCACGGTGCAGAAAAAAGCGCAAAGTTTGAGTCAAAATGTCCCTATAAAGAGTGAGGGAAGAAACAGCAACCGGTACTGGAAAATAATCCTTTTGGCAAAACTGTCCTCTCCTTTATGTGTTCCTCGCCACAGATAAATTCTGTCAGTTTTTGGATGCAGAGGAATGTTTGAGTTTGGGATATTTCAGTTTAAATGGTGATGGCCAAGGGATACTAGGAAAAAAATGAGATGCTGGGGAAAAAAATCTAATGAGGAAATAGTGAAGAATAGATTGAAAAAGCTCAGAATGAGTAACACATGTTGATCGACCAATTGTTTCTTAAATAAAGTAGAGGGCAAAAGAGAGAGAAATGCATTCAGTGGCAAAAATGGTCAGATTTATCTTTATCAGCCAGTCAAGAACTGATAAAAACTGGCTGCCGAACAAAAGTGGTATGCAAATTTTTGCAGGGCAGAAATGTCTTCAGAAATAACGTGGAACAAAAAGATAGGGTGGGTTATTATTTCAGAAAGTTGGTACATGAGAAATATAATTTATCACCCAGCACCACAATTTACCGCGTGGACTGTTCAGACATAACCACTAATCCATATCTGCAGAGAGCACTAATATTTCAAGCCACTAAGCACCTTTCAAAGAATCTTTAGGTACCTGTATATTTAGTTCAACGCTAAGAAGTACTTTTATATATAGATAACGCACCGGGTCCAGACGTTGTTATGCCTTAATTTTTAGCTGTGGCTACAGACAACAAAACACTTTTCAAAATCCGGAGGGAGAAGCACTAGGTACGGCACAAAGCGGCAGAGGACGGGCGGACAACAACAGTCCGCCTGCACACAGCCGCCCCCCCGCCAGCAGCTGCCGCATGAGGCCCCCCCCCCCGCCCCACCCCGGCGCTGGGGGGGTGTCAGAGTGCGGCGGGGTCAGCCGCACCAGCGCAGCCCCGGGGGGGGGGCGCGGATCTCGGCCCCCCCGGTTCACCGGGGAGA